GATAGATAGATAGATAGATAGATAGATAGATTTAGATAAACAATTTTTATTTAAACATTTAAAATCTGGAGCTGCCTGTGCAACCATACCAGACGTGATAACGTCCACAACTCTCCTCATCTCAGTGTCCTGGTATCAGGCCCTGCAAGGGCACTGTTGGAAGACTTCCTGTAGATGACTTACCTGTCACCTGAGGCTGAGCAATGGGACAGAGGAGAGTTTCACTGCACTGGGTATGCTGGTGGTTGTTACAGAAAGGCCCAGAAGAACTCTGGACAGAAATACCTAGGGGCTCTAGTGTTTGCTCGATATGCTAAATTCAGCCTTGCCTAGGAGGTTCACAGGTTTTTAAAATACCAAAATCCATCTGGCTGAATTGCTTTACCTAGGGCCTGGTAGTGCAATACTGCTGTGCCAGTGACATCATGCTTTGTTTACACGCATATCATACTACATGTATTGTCCCTGCTAATTCTCCCTCTGCCAGTATTCTCAAAGCAGGTGGCTCATACTCTACTGTAGCTGTTTCCTTTGGAACAGTGATTAGGTTTAATGCATGCCCAACCCCATGCAGTCCCAGACTGCTCTAACTGGGGTATCACTTCTGTCTTGACGAAGATGCATTTGAGATCCTTAATATACAAGGGCAGTGTCTGACCTGCATCAGTCTTAAATGCAGACACGTGGGTCTGTAAAGCAGACTGATGTTTCACTAGAGTCTTGTTTCCTGCACGTGGCCTGCATAAGCCAAAATTATGCTATGCCAGCTTGATGCTGCAATGGTGTGGGGAAGGAAGGTGAGCATGGGTGCTGGAGAAAGTCAGGCTTCCAGAGAAAGAGCATTGGTTCAAGTGAACTCCCTGCTTCCTTTTTCCTGTTTAAATGTCTCCCAAAGTTTAGATACTCCCCTACAGTTTAGCACACATCTCGAGTAGTTCCTCACTCTTGTGCTCATGTTTAACAAGTGGCTGCAGTTGGGCTTGCAAGTAAGACTAAATCAGCAAAGGAAATGCTAACCCAGGACTATATGTGAGCTATGACTAGAAGCTGGCTGTCCCGATTGTGGCATAAATTTGTGCAGAGACACAGGAAGGTACTGTTAGTATGTCTGGGTTTTATTTCCCATTCTCTCCCAGGAGGTGCTAGGACTTACAGGACAGCACTCTAGTAGAGATGCTTGGTAATTCCAGGTTCCAGTGACCCAGTTAATACTCAGCCATGTAGCCAGCCTCTGTCCAGGCAGATGGATTCTGAGTGTGACTCCTGTAACCATGTGAGCCTTTCCTCCTCATCAACCTCCACAGGGCTCTTCT